ACACACACACACACACACACACACACACACACACACACACTAAAAGCAAATCTTTTAAAAATAAAAGCACATCTCTCCTCAGGCCTTCTCTTATTTGATAGTCAGCTTTCAGCTACTATAACAAATACCAAAGAGCATCAGTTTATAAAGAAAAAGAGGGTTTTCTTTGGCTCATAGCTTTTGAGGCTTCAGTTCATGATAAACAGGCCTTCCTGCTTTGGTTCTGGTGATAGGGCATAAAAGTGTGCATGAGTGAAAAAAAAAAAAAACAATCATAGTCTGGAGGAAAATAAAGGTGGGCGGGGAGGGGAAATTGGAGAGGAGGAGGAGGAGCACAAGGAGGAGGAGGAAGAGGGCAATACCCCAGGGTGTGCCTCCAGTGATCTCTCACAAGTTTTCAGCACCTGCTGAGCCAGAACCAAACCTGTAACACATTGGCCTTTGAGAGAAATTCCAGGTGTAACCTTTAGCTATTTTACACAGGGAGCCCAACAGGGAGAGGCGATGGCATGTCTTCATCCTCTTGCCCTGACTTCCCATCACAGTTGTATTGAGCACCCACTTTCCACACTCTGACTGACTCCCTATTTCTCCTCTACTTGAGCAAGCTTTGTGACTCTTGGGTAAGTCCTCTGTCCTTTCCATTTTCATGGTCACTTCTGTCGAAACTGTTCTCATTCCTCACCGCTGGTTTCACAAGCTGGCTGTACTCTGACACTATCCAAACACCCTCAACATCAGCAACCACACTTCCTTCAAATTCTGTCAGCCTATTAGTGTGGATCTCACTCATTTCCTCATCCATATTCCTGCTTACCATCAATCCATTTAGCACTGAGTCATGAAAGCACGCCATGTGCAGGCTGGTGTTTCTAAGCTTTCTGCAAGGCTTTCTCAGATCCCAGCAGGTATCCTCTAGACTTCATTTTGAAAACAATTTTTAGTCCTCCCTCCCTTCCTGCCTCCCTCCCTCCTACTCTCTCCTTTCTTTCCTTCCTTCCTTCCTTCCCTCCTTCCCTCCCCCCTCCCTCCTTCCCTCCCTCTCTCTCTCCTTTGTTTTTGGAGAAAGCAAGCACAAAAATATTGAAATAAAAATTTCCCAAAACACAGAAATCTGAGGTGGCAAAAAAACCCTAAGTACTTCATTTTTACAGATTGGGAAATCAGGGCCCTGGACTGCTAGTTAACTGCAGGGAAGAACAGAAGACATTTGATTCTTCAGCTCAACAAGGCTTTTGCATCGTCAGGCAACCGAAAAGACACAATGAGACACACAGTGAGCGTCCTAGACATGGCAGCTGAGCATGGACTTGAGTTGTCCATGGCAACATGCGGGCTGCACGCTTGCCCCTGCTGCATGCACATACAGAAAACCAAGCATCTGGAAAATTCCTCCTCCTACATCTGGCTACCAGCAGTCTATGAGAGTGTGGCTGCTCCCAGTTGCCATTGCTCACACATGCTTGGAGCTCAGACCAGCCACACTGGTTGTGAGAGAGAAGAAGCACCACGACTTGGATGCACAAGTATGGGAAATTAGGGAAGCAAGTGAGGAAGTGCGAAGAGAGGTTTGTGAATATTCTGGCCACAAGTAGAGGCAGAGTGAGAGCCCTGGTTCCTTTTGGGTCAGTGGTCCCTTCACTTCCTATCATGCCTCTCGGGTCAGGATTTCCCCTGGGGTACTGTTTTCGTGGGGTGAGGAGTGGAAACAGGAAGGAAGTGTCAGCTCTTCCTAGACCAGGCACCACAGCGAATTACTTTTGCTTACGGGGACTTTTCTAGTGCTTACAGTCATCTGTAGGAGGTTGAACTTCAGCAACTGCCGTGCTGCTGTTATTAGTGGTAGGCCCCCTCTTCCACAAAGGGGAGCCCGGTCTCTTTGATCCACAGCTCCTACAAGCCCAGCCTGTGGCTTGACACACTGCAGAGCTGCAAGGTCTGCTGACCGAATGGGCACTGACACCAGTGAAGACCTACCCAAGGCACTGCTTACTGGCCTGAAATCCTGCATGGGCTTCTGCCAAGCCTGGATTGGAAGCCAATCAACTCTGCCTTCTTTTCCCAAAGAAAATATAGACCTTGGCTCTGAAGGAGGCCATAGTCCCCAGGCTCTTCTTGGCTATAATTAGAAAAAGACCTGTTAAAGACCTCAGTAAAATCCCCTTCCTACCCTCTCCCTAGTGCCCATTTCCCTGCTTAGACTTTTCCAAGATCCCGACCAGCATGCACATGCTATTTTCCTCACTTAGCAATGCTTTCCCACATATGGTGTTTTCTCAGTCCCTGGAGCAGCATTCCTAACAAGGTTTCACCATCCCTCAAAATACTCAAAAGAGAGCAATTTCTGATTCCCCCCTTTTGGCTCAGTTTACAACACATACTGAGTATTTCTGGGTATTCAGCAAGTGGCTGAAATGAGCAAGGGAGCTGGGACACAAGGTGGTAGTGCACTGGAGACCACAGCAGCCTGGATCTGTTGCTGGAACTTGCGGAGGGGCCAATTCACCTCCCTAGGACCAACTTCCCTACCCACAGCTTCCCTACCAAAGTGCTGACTCCTGACTAACCACATGCAAATCACTCTTGTTGAACATGCATAGAATGTTTATTATTTGTTTGCTTGTTTGAACTAGCATATAGTCAGTCATTACACAAAACGATGGGTTTCATTATGACATTCTTATCCACCAATTCTTATCCACGCCATGTACTCTGAGTATATTCATCTCTCATTACCTTTACTTGTCCACTCCCAAGTAGTCAACCTTTCTGCTTGGACATCTCTTTGACATCAGAGAAACCATGTGATATTTGTCTTTCCAAGTCTGGCTTCTTTTGCTTAACATGGTGATTTCAAGTG